AAGGTTACGACAGACATCATTGTTAACCATTCAACCTCACCATCCGGTACAATGCTGGAAAGAGTTTCAAAGCTAGCTAGGTTTTAAAGCGATATTTATATGATTTATATTGATTTTTTTTATAATGGAGTATTGGGAAATTTTTTGTTTAGCCATTTCTGTGAGCCATTTTATTTTTTATTTATTCATTTTTTAAGAGGACGTTTTGTTACCGTTCACAGGTATCTTGGACTACGTTAGCCATATCGTTCCCTTATATTATTTACTGTGAGTTCCTTTGACTGAGAATCAGCTCCTGTTTCTTCAATAAACTGGTTTGCTTTAATTGCAAATGTATTTTCCAGAGCAATGTTAACTTGAGCGAAAACGGAAGGGGAACGACGATCCCTTTAGTTTTCATTTCGTGATGAGACTGATGAGAGTGATGAGACTCTCTAATGGAAGCCATTTTTAACTGAGTGGTATAACAGTGCTGTTGGGGTGGAGGTGTGGCACGTGTGTTTTAATTACCTCTTTTGTGGCATCATACAGCCAGATTTTTCATAATTATTTATCTGAGCAGGTGAGGCTGCTAGCACCATTCCATCTCGGGGTCTTAACCCATTAAATGCACTGGTGTTGAACTCTATTAAAGGGTGTGGTATGTGGCGGTCATACTCGTTCGTAGCCACAGACAAGATCAGATCAGTGAGCTAGACCTCTGGTGTGCTCATTGATGCATAGGGAAACTGTCTGGTAAAACTTCTGGGTAGATTATATATACTGTAAATAGCATATATACAATTGAACCAATGGAAGATCAATTTATTATACGTTGTGGAATTTATGAGTTAGAAATATTCTTACTTCGATGCGTGTGTTCAAGAAAATGAAGCACTGTTTGACTAGTGATAAATGGATACTTAAGGTCTTGCTGGTTTTTGCTAAACACGCTAAAGAGCCGTCAAAAGAATTCTCCAATCAGTAATTTTGGAAGGTTTATTCTTGCCACTAGCTGCGAAACTGAAAAAAAAATGTTTTATGTGTGACCCTGACTTTGTTGTAAATGAATGCTATGTAATATCGGCAGGATGAGCTACACACATGTGCTACATCTGACATTACCAGTAAGTGTAGATAGAGCTTTTTGCACGTCGAAATCATTATTGATCACCAGGTCGGAAGAGTCCTCTGTAAAAATCTGCAGCTTAATTATACTATGTTATCCTTTCCACTTTATTCGAGAAGCTAGTTTGAGAATTCCTCTCTAGATGGCAGCTTGGCATACTGACTTGCCTCAGTTAGATTCCATCACACTTTATACCAACACAAGGAACCCCTTCCCTCCTGATACAGAGACACATTACACACTTCGCGCGGCGGGAGATGCAGTCTTAAGATCTAAGTCCAGAGACTTGAGGAGACAGTCATCTTGCTCATAATAGAGAACACTGTTAAGGGGGTTTGACCACTTAGAGAGAATTTTGCGAAACAAAATGGCAGAAGGGTATATACGGTAAACAGATGGAGAGAGGGTCAGTAACGGATTTTAAGGGGCGACCGAGGGAATGCAACGTACGTTAAGAAGAGAGGGACAGTAACAGATGTCAGAAGGCAATGGAGGGGAAGTAACAGACGTCAGAAAGCAAGAGAAGATAGTGACAGACGTCAAGGAACGAGGAAGGGAAGGGCAGCAACAGATGTCAAGGAGCTAGAAAGGGAAAGTAACAGACGTCAGGAAGTGAGTCAGCAACAGACAGCACGTAGTGTATTAACTGAGAGGGGAAAACATTTTCCTCCTGCTCGTCCAGTGTTTTCAAACAAACTCGAGCAATTGTATATGCATGGAGGGGATTTCTCCTTCGTCCAGTAGTAGTCGACTATCAGAATTGTGTTTGACCTACCAGAAGAGATAATATCTCAGGTCACTTTATAAAATTTACGTTAAACGTTGCAAACTTGATAAGAAATGTGATGGATATTTTGATTTGATCATTTTAATGAGTAAAGTAAAATATATTTTACTTAAAGAGTCTAGTTATGTTGATGAAACTCTGATTAAAAGGCAGGATTTTCCAGTGTAATAATATTCTTTGTGAAATGAAGTGCGGCTCTCAAGGCGCTGGCGAGGGAATCTTGGAGACGAACTGAATTTGTCCTCGCCTTCCATGGATCAATTTTTATTGCCTTCTATTCCATGGACGCTGCATAATCCCGGATTTAAATTTTCCCACTTACTATAACAATAGTAATGTGATATGTAGACAATATATATAAGGACTAGTAACAATGATATACACACTTTGAAAAACTTTGTGCTTAAGAGAAAAATGTAAAAGGTATTTTACTCTATGGATTGTATTGTACTGTCAACGACAGTGACCATAATAACAATCGACAGGCTAAAAGAAACTATGTATTTTTTTAAACAGTTACGAGATGTGGGTAAAGTAAATCGTATGTATGCTTTAAACAATTACTCTTTGTGTGTCTGAACAATAACAACAAAAAATTTCCCTTTATAGATTATTTACCCTCCTCCCTTCCAAGGTCAAAGGTAACAACAATCAGCATTAGTCTATATCTTTATAAACAGAGTTAATTTGCAAGTTTAAGGATAATTTCTGTATTTAGCGACTCAAGCTTAGTTTACTAAGAAAACATATTAGCTGTAGACCAGTGTAATTAACTGCCAACAAACATATAATCTAATACTGACTATATATGAGCTCGGTGAAATGACTTTCACGTTGTTTACATTGGCATCGTCAACGCTCTGTACGATAAAAGCACTTCAGAACACACAAATATATCTTCACAAATTATAACGCCAGCAAACATAGAAGATGATGTAAAAATGCTTAAAATAGACATAAGAGCACAAGTGTGGAGACAGGTAACGTACCTCTGACACACCTAAGAACAGTATCGAGGATTCTTATTTTGTATCTTGACCCGAGGCCTGGTTGACCAATATCCTGGTCACTCAGGATATTGGTGCTAACGGCTATTAGACCAACATAACCATTACTACCAGGCTGATCAATTACCTGTAAGAATAAGTTGTCCAGTTTCCCCTTCAAAATTTCTATTTTTCTTTCTGTAATAATTCTGGTATCTGCTGGTAACAGATTGAATATGCTTATACAGCGGGTGTAAACACGGTGTTATCTAGTTGTGCCTCCAGGGCTTATGCTTTCCACTGAGATTACACGACACTTCTCCCATGTTGGTAACTCCAGAAAGTCATTAAGTCATTGTGCAGATTACGTATCAAGCCTTCTAGTAATCTCCTTTGATATATTATGAGATATCACTCTCATATATTATCAAGTATCTCTCTCTCTTTCATATATTATCAAGTATCTCTCCTCTTTCATGTATTATCAAGTATCTCTCTCTTTTTCATATATTTACATGTATCTCTCTCTTTCATATATTATCAAGTAACTCTCTATTTCATATATTATCAAGTATCTTTCCTTTTATATATTACCAAGTATCTCTCTCTCTCACATATTATCTAGTATCTCTCTCTTTCATACATTATCAAGTAACTCTCTGTTTCATATATTATGAAGTATCTCTCTCTTTGATATATTATCAAGTATCTCTCTTTCATATATTATCAAGTATCTCTCTCTCTTTCATATATTATCAAGTATCTCTCTCTTTCATACATTATCGAGTATCTCTCTCTTCTCAGTTGTGTAGAGAACAATGCAAAAGTTAAAAAGGAGTTTCCAGTAACCTAGAACTTTTAATGTTTCTGTGCAGGCAGTAAACGATCCCTGTATATGTTCCAGCTTCGTTATTTCTCCTGCCTTTAAAAGCACAGTAATCACACAACAATACTCGAGACAGAAGAGCAAAAGTGTTTTGAAATGTACCATCATCGCGATTGTGTTTCTAGTTTTGTAGTGTCACATAATCCGCCCTGTTATTTTTCTGGTCTTTGCTACATTTACCCAATCATGTTCTCTAAATTACAGATCACCTGATATTACCGTTCCTAAACCTTTTGCCTATTTCCTTGAAAGCCAGGATACCGAGCCCTTAGGATCTCGTTTTTAAGTAATTAGATTGGCACGTTGGTATCAACACAAAATTTTTCTGAGATACGTGTCAGTTCTTTTTGGACTGGCACATTACAGCAGCCTTATCCTTATTACTACTCTAGTTTTACGTTTAACTTTTATTGTCAGATGAAGGTTCTATGTGAAAAAATTTAAGTGTATGTATAGGTTTTGGGTCTATACCATGTTTTTATGGGTTAAACCAACAAAGTCTATGTGGACAAGATTTTCGGTTTATATATACATATGTGGGAGGTATAATTATGTATAGGTTTGGTTATAAACCCTTTAATGTGCCGAGGTTTGTTATAAATACTTGTTTTGGATTCTTTTATTATTGTATTTTACATGCATGTTGTTCTGTTTTCTGTATCAACATTTTTGTATTAGAGGGTTAACATATTAATAATAGAAAAAAATCTTTTTCTCTATGGTTATTGTGTAAGGGAATCATATGTTCCTTCCGGGTTCCTATTGGTTAGGATCTAATGTACCATAACTTAACCAATAATCTGTACCCTGTCATAGCGGGTATTTAGGGTTTAGTTTTGTTTTGTAGTGGTTATGGTATTTTGGTTAATCTTGTGATGTTTGTACATTTGTATGATGTTTTTGTTGTAATAGGACATGTCAGGTATTCATTTATATTGTTTAAACTATGTAAAGTTTCTTTTTGGTGTGTCTTCTTTGGGTACAATGGCTTGGCGGCAACTATTAATGACTGATAAACTTTAGTGAGGTTTGTCTTAGCGTGTATTGTTTTGCTATAACAAGATGTTATAATACTTGTTCCCGCCAGGAATAACCTGGTACTAGTAGCACAAAACAATGTTTTGTATTCCTGTACTTTATTATGCATCCTTTGTACTTTTGTAAGGTTTCTAAAAAAAAAAAAAAAAAAAATCTTTATAGAAGAAGAAGAGGGTAAAACAATGTTAAAGAATGTAATAATATGCAAGAAAGGCGGTAAAGATTTACCCAAAAAAACTGTCTTAGACAATGTTGTGTGATGTCACCTGTGGTCTTAAAGATGTGTGATGTCACCTGTGGTCTTAAAGACGTGTGATGTCACCTGTGGTCTTAAAGACGTGTGATGTCACCTGTGGTCTTAAAGACGTGTGATGTCACCTGTGGTCTTAAAGATGTGTGATGTCACCTGTGGTCTTAAAGACGTGTGATGTCACCTGTGGTCTTAAAGACGTGTGATGTCACCTGTGGTCTTAAAGACGTGTGATTCACCTGTGGTCTAAAGATTGTGATGTCACCTGTGGTCTTAAAGACGTGTGATGTCACCTGTGGTCTTAAAGACGTGTGATGCCACTGAACTTTGGTCAAAACACAATATATACAAAGTAAGCCATCACGTAGACCAGATGTCACAGCTTTAAGAAGAACATAAGAACATAAGAACATAAGAACATAAGAACGAAGGAACACTGCAGAAGGCCTACTGGCCCATACGAGGCAGGTCCCAAGTCCCTACCGGCTTAAGCCAATGCACCCAACCTAGTCAGGTCAGGTCACATGACTTAAGGGAGGAACACGGCAACCGACCTGTTAGCACAAGCTATCAGGTCTAACTCACACCCACCCACATCTACTCATGTATTTATCCAACCTATTTTTAAAGCTACACAACGTTCTGGCCTCTATAACGGTACTTGGGAGTTTGTTCCACTCATCCACAACTCATTACCAAACCAGTACTTTCCTATATCCCTCCTGAACTGAATTTTTCCAACTTAAAACCATTGCTGCGAGTCCTGTCTAGGCTAGATATTTTCAGCACACTATTTTACATCCCCTTTATTTATTCCTGTCTTCCACTTATAAACTCAATCATATCCCCCTAATTCTACGTCTTTCTAGAGAGTGCAGTTTCAGGGCCCTTAGTCTATCCTCATAGGGAAGGTTTCTGATACATGGGATCATCTTTGTCATCCTCCTTTGTACATTTTCCAGAGAATTTATATCCATTCTGTAATACGGTGACCAAAACTGTGCAGCATAATCTAAATGAGGCCTAACCAAGGATGTATAGAGTTGAAGAACAACCTGAGGACTTTCCCATTATTTATGCTTCTTGATATGAAGCCAAGGATTCTATTAGCTTTTATGCGAACACTTATGCACTGTTGTCTTGGTTTCAGATTACTGCTAACCAGAACTCCTAAAAACTTTTTCGCAATCCGTAATATTAAGATCTACATTATTTAGTTTTAAATGTGGCATGGTTATTGTCCTGTCCAACATTTAAACTTTGCATTTGTCTTATTAAACTGCATCTGCCACTTCTCCGACCACTGCATCAGTCTATTCAAATCTTCCTGGAGTGCTCGAATGTCCTCGTCAGAATGAATTCGACGGCCTATTTTGGTGTCATCGGCAAACTTGCCGATGTCGCTCTTTATGCCCCCATCTATGTCGTTTATGTAGATTGTGAACAGCAGGGGGCCCAACACTGACCCCTGTGGAACACCCCTCGTGAAAGCTTCCCCACTCTGATTTCTCCCCATTTATGCAAACTCTCTGCTGCCTATTTGTCAACCATGCCTCTATCCAGGAAAAAATTTCTCCTCCTATTCCATGTGCTTTAATTTTCCTCAATAGTCTTGATGTGGGACCCTGTCAAAAGCCTTATGAAGTCCATATACACAATATCATATTCATTTACCATGATCTACCTCCTCAAATACCTTTGTGAAAAAAGTTAATAAATTCGTAAGGCAGGAAAAGCCCCCTTTTTAAAACCATGCTGAGATTTGTTGATTAATTTATGCTTTTTAAGGTGGCTACGAACTGCCTCGGCAAATTTTTGATTTTCCCTAAATTTTTCCCCCCTATGGAGGTTAGGCTTATTGGTCTATAGTTCGAAGCTAAGGGCCTGTCACTGTTTTGAAAATAGGGATCACATTTGCCATTTTCCACTTATCTGGCACCATGCCAGTTTGTAGTGATATGTTGAAAAGATTAGCCAAAAGGTGTGCTAAGCTCCTCTTTACATTCCTTTAAAACCCCTTGCATACAGTTCATCAGGGCCTGGGGATTTGTTAGGTTTTAATTTATCTATTTGCCTAAGGACCTGTCACTTGTGACCCAAATAGTGCACAGTTTATTATCGTCCTGTTCTACATAATTTATCATTACTGGAATATCGCTGGTATCCTCCTGTGTAAAAACTGAGAGGAAGTATGTGTTAAAAATTCTACACATTTCCTTATCACTGTCAGTGAGCTGACCCGAGGAACTTTTGAGTGGGGCCCATCTTGTCCCTGATCTTACTTCTGTATACCTGAAAGAATCCTTTTGGGTTAGTCTTCGATTCTCTTGCAACTTTAACTCATAATCTCTTTTTGCTTTTCTAATTCCCTTTTTTATTTCTCTCTTTAACTGAATATATCGATTTCTTAATTGCCCCTTCCTCTTTTGATTTGCCTATATATGCCTCTCTTTTGACCAATCAGATATTTAATCTATTGTTCATCCATTTAGGAAACATTTTTGTTTGATCTGATTTCCCTATTTGGAACATAATTTGACTGAGCAGCTAGAACTATGCCCTGGAAAGCTTTATATCGGGAACCATCACCACCTACCTGAAACCCCTAGTCAGGTCATTCCAGTTCAGCCCACCTAAGTAATTTTTCAGTCCTATGAAATCAGCCAAGCGAAAGTCAGGGACGGAGACTTGATTGCCATTATTAGGGAATTTCCATGATAGTTAAAACTGAGTGATTTGTGACACTCTCCCCAAGTCATCATTAACCTCAAGATTATTAATTAGTGTTTCCCTACTGGCAAGAAACCCAAATCAGGAGGTTATTCCCTAGTTGGGTCTGTCACAACTGTTTTAAAAAACAATCCTGGATCGTATCAAGAAAGTCAACCCGACTCTAAATTTCCTGTCAAATTGCTCCAGTCAATCGTCTATAGTTGAAATCTCCCATTAGCACAACATTTTCGTAGTAGATGCCTTAAAGAATTTCGTCCCATAGAAGTTTACTGCCTCCTATCAAGATTTGGGGCCCTGTAAATCACACCCAAAATTTGTTTTTCTCGCCCTCGGAAGCTGTAACCAAACAGATTCAGTGGCTGACGCTTTTAATTTAATATCTTGTCTAAACACAACAATTTAAATTGTCTCTGACATACATCGCTACTCCACCACCTTTCCTGTTGACCCTGTCAGTGTGGAATAATTTATAGCCTTGTATGTGACATTCAGAGGGCATCTCTCTATCTTTCAGATTGAGCCAGGTCTCTGTTATAGCAATAATATCTATGTTTCCTGCACTTGCAATTAATCTTAGCTCATCTATCTTATTTCTAACACTCCTGCTATTAGTATAGTAAACCTTAAGGGAGCTAGTCCCTTGCTGCCCTCTGCTGTCCCCCTTTGTTTGCTGACCTGTTCTATTGTCTTTATTTATAACTTCATGCTGAATGCCTTTTATACATTTACTGTTTCCAACCCTAGTGTTGCAACCTGCTTGTTTCCCCCACACACCCATACCTCTATCTTCCATCAGTTTAAAATCATAGGCATTTCACCAATGGCCTTCTCAATCGAGTCTGCAAGTGCTACCACCCTGCCCCAGAGAGATGAACCCCATCCCTTGCATACATATCATGTTTGCCATAAAGTTGTTCCAGTTGTCAATGAATGGGATTGCAAGTTCCTTGCAGTATCTGTCTAGCCAGCAATTTACACCAATTGCCCCAGACAACCATTCTTTCCTACTCCCCTTCTAGGCAAGATGCTACATATGATTGGGATCCCCCCCTTAGACTTAATGAAATCTATAGCTGCCCTGTACTTATCTAGCACTTTTCTCTCCTACCCTTTTCCCAATATCTTTCCACCACACTGAACAGATAATGGGCTTTTTCCCTTTATGACATGATTTATCCAGTCTGTTGACAATGTCCCCAACACCACTCCGGGGAAGCACATTTATCCTATCTTCTTATTCCTATTACAAAAAGCACGGCAACATATCTTCCCTGAGAGTCACAACCAAAAGAATGCGCTTACCTTCATTGCAGGGCGTATCCCTTCCCTTTCACGGGCCATAAGTACATTAAACCTGGGAACAAGAAGCGTTTTCCCTACCTTCGATCTTCATTTTAATTCCTTACTTGATGCCCCCCCATTACTGTGAACAACTCCCCCACTTGTAGCAGTGCTGGGGGACACCTCACTGCGGTACCGTTGCTACCTCCCCCCCTACAGCCTCCCCGTGAGAGACAGACTGCACCTCACTGCTAGAACCTCTTTCCCCACTCTCCAACCCCCTCACACTTCTCCCGGGCCCTTTTGAGGGGACCTTCAGCCTCCAAATCTCCCCCTGGAGAAGCAAGACCCCCTCCTTTAACTCTCCAACCCATTTTTTAAAACACGCAGAAGCAAGCCATGCTTTGTAACCCGTCCACGCTAACCCCCAAAGCAGTCGGGGGTCGTGACCTCACGTGAGACTGCCCGAACAATACTTGTTAAAACTCTGTCACACACCAAAACCTCATTTAGACATTGTTTTGTGAGTAAAAATGGGGGAAGGGGACAGTGTTAGACATGTAGAATGTGGAAAGTGAGACAGTGTTAGTGAGTAAGAATGTGGAAATCTGAACATTGTTAGTGATTAAGAATGTGGGGAAACGGGCATTTTTAATGATTAAAAGTGCGAAGTGGGATGTTAAAGATGTAAGAATGTCGAAGTGGACATTGTTAGTGATGTAAAATAAGGAAAAGGGACATTGTTAATGATGTAAGAAAGTGGGAATGAGACATTTTTAAAAGATGTAAGAAGTGCGAAAATGAACATGTTAAAGAGTAAAAATGTGCGAAATGGACATTGTTGTGATGTAAAATGGGGAATGATACATTGTTAAAGTAAAAGTGGGAATGAGACATTGTTAGTGAAATAAAATGTGGGGAACGAGACAGGTTAGAATGTAAGAATATGGGAGTGGACATTGTCAATTGTAAGATGCGGAATTTGAGACATGTTTGTGAGTAAGAATGTGGGGAAATCTGGGGCATTGTTAGTGATGTAAGGATATTTGGGGAAGTTAACATTGTTTAAGAGTAAAAATTTCAAGGAAAAATTGTTTTAGTGATTTAAATATAGGGGGGAAATTGTCAGTGATTAAGAAGTGGAAGTGAGACATTGTTTGTGATGTAAAATAGAAAGGGGGACATTGCATGATGTAAAATGTGGGGAAATTGAGACATTTTTAGTGATGTAAGAAATTTTGGGGGAAATTTTTTAGACATTGTTAGGGCATTAAGAATGAAGGAAATCTAGACATTGTTAGTGCGACATGATGTGGGAAAATCTAAGATTT